AAAATTCTAAGCTTTACCCAGTTTATGTAATTACTGTCACAGTGAATGTGAGCAGTGGAAGAGATACAATAGAAAAAGTGGGATTAACAGTTTTTTCTGAGGTCATGGGGGTCATGAGATATTAACAATGTATCTCTGATATTACTGAAATGTAAAAGTTAAAAATTTAAAGTAAAACCTTCTAAACAATTATATCTGCAAATGTACACTGACGCTGCCCAGTTTAATTTATCTTATTAATCCTTTTAACGCTTGCACAATAGTTACCTAAGGAAAATAAGACAGTGGCAATAAGTCTTGATTAAATGTTATATAGCAGAATTACATTTTGGAAATACAAGGTTTTAATGATGCCACAAATAATGCAGTGATGCACTGTACAAATGGCCTGAGGTAAAGGGCAGTACTAAGAGAACCATGACTCGATCATCCATTTAGGTGTGCCACTAGCATTTGAGGGTCCTGTCAGTTTATCCAATAGGACTTAAAACTGGCTAAAATATAATATCAAATATACACAAGTTTAAAGTTAGAATCGTTAAGACTTTCAGTCCAGCAACAGTTGGTATGTTTTAAACAATACCTGCCATTGTTGTTCCTCTTTCAGCTGCTCCCCAGGGATCACCACAGCAGAGCACTGAGGACTGCATATACAATTTTGAATTGCCTAACCTGCATGTCTTTACACTGTGGGAGGAAGCTGGAATAACCCGTGCCAGCACGAGGAGAACATGTAAACTCTACACAGAATGGCCCCACTCTGGATTTGCACCCAGGATTTTCATACTGTGTGATGACAGTCCTAACCACTGCACGACTGTGCCAACCAAACAATGGCTGCCCTTCGTGCTCTGACTTAAAACAGGGCAGGAAGGGCAGGTATTCAAACAATGAAAGTTTGTTGACTTCTAAAGTAAAACTATTGCTCTTTTGTTGTATTTCTGCTTCTCCCAGAATTCTTGGACCTAGAGTATCAAAATGCATTTGCCGATACCACCAGTGTCCATTAAGTTTTTCGGAAAAACAATTCAACTGCCTAATTAAAAATTCTAAAGATTATACAAAAACCTTCATTGAAATATCATTTGAATAGGAAAACAGCTTTGAGTGTCATACACAGCACAGACAGTTGAGGTTACAATAAACGACAAAGGAGAAGGGCTAAGACTAAAAATAACAATGCAGGAGCCTCTAAAACACATTTCGACTAGAACAGGAGTGAACAATCTGTCCTCGAGTACTGCTGCCCTGCTTGTTTTCCAACTATCCCTGCCCTACCCACTGATGATTACCTGGATCAGGTGTGTTCAGTCAATCAGAAGCTGGAATACATCATCTTAGATGAAGGTGGAGTGACAAAAGACAAAGTGAACTGGCATCTTCCAGCTGCTGACTGACTGAACACACCTGATCCAGGTAACCAGCGGTGGGTAGGGCAGAGACAGTTGGAAACCAAGCAGGGCAGAGACGCTCAACAACCGGAATTGTTCACCCCTGCTCTAGAACAAGTGGAAACTAAATAAAGGTGATATTTGTTGGTTTGCTTGTTTTTCTCTGTGGTGGGCTGAGCTCAAAAAGCAGCTGTCTAAGAACAAGTTTTAGCAAAGTAACATCTGGAGCAGCAAACACGTCCGCAGCTCAAACCACAGCCCCCCCCAGACAGCATCGTGTTCAGCCTGACAGTGTGCTCACTGTTTGCTGGATTTCATAACCGTTTCCCCTGTTTTGAAAATCTAGGACTCATGGGGGGTTGAGGGTAGAGGTTTAGATAATGTTCACATTGCACAACATATAGCAGATGGGAAGCTGAATTGATATTTGAGTGTAAAATATCTTCTGTGCACCCTGTTCTACCTTCATAACATCTTCCTCACATCAGACAAATTAAGTGGAGCATGAATAATAATTAGCATATTCTTTAGGAAAACATTAAAATACCAATGAAGCTTCAGAAACATTGTACCCAAAGTGTTGAAAAACATTCTTTGTGCTACTTTGTGTACCATCCTCCTAAAGTACAGTAGTTTGAGCATATGCTAATTATAAGCATCAATGCTTTTAAATGCCTGTTAAGTTCTGTAGCACTGAGTAGGTGTCCTAACTTTTTAGTTTTCAGAGTTCTTCTCGCCAGTGACTCTGCACTCTTCTTCTTCTCTCAAATTAAATTATTCTCCTAGTGGAATGGAAAAGAATTTTATATAAATATATATTTGCATAACTCATCATATTATTGTTTCTTTGGGTCAAAAAGCTTATTCATCTTTTTGAACACTAAAATATAACCATACAAACTTAAAAATACAAAACACATTGTACTTCTTTTACGTCACTTGTCTGAATTTACTAAATATTTTAAAGGAAACTTAATATTACACCTAACAATGTGTCTAAACATATATTACACATCAAAGTTGATGATAAAGGCAGTTGTCACACCATGGAGTCATAGCTGTCTTATGTAAAACAGACACAGAATTACGCTCTGTAGAGCGCAGCCTCTTTTTTCCCCACACCTAAAATGTAAATCTTAATAATGCCACATTATAACCTAATCGCAATGGAAAAAAATTTAAATAAAAAAATTACACATAAAAACTGGAGTCCTAAACTTCCATTAGTAAATGTGCTTATTGCATATTAATTGTCAGCACAGGCACCTTTTTCAAAAAATAAACCATCAGCTCCCCAGGGACCTAAAACAGCAGACAACACAAGACTTCCTGAGCTCACAACTGCAAACCGCAGTACTTACACTGTATGTTTATTAGAAATTAGACATGCAACAAGGCCTCTGTCACAATTAATATCTAGAACTAGCAATGTAAACCAGCAAGAACCAGAAATGCTCTATATGACTCATATTCACAATGTGTTGTCTTTTCACTTTTACATGAAATTGTATTTAAATCTTATATGTAAATCACTGCCCTGATTTAAGAGCCAATCTCTTCAGTGACAAAAAAAAATAGCATCAGAGCAAACCACATACTGCACCAGTACCTCTGTACTAGGCAAATGTTGCAAGTTACCAGGAAACTATTCTGTAAACCTGGCAGCGTTATGCATGGCAGAGCTCCATCAATTGTTGGAGCTCTGAGCAGTTTATGTAACACTTTGTGGAGTTGTGTTCAGACTGAGCATGAAGTCAATTTTAGAGGCTGCGTGATTGAATACAAAATCAATGCAATGACATGACACATCCATGAAGGTGAATTAAAGAGTAAGATTACAGGCAAGTATTTGGGTTCCTAGTGCGCTGTGATACAAGTCAGTCTCTGATCTCGCTTTCATACACGTTTAGTAAAAAAAAAAAATCACCACATTAAGACATTTGGTTCAGTAGCTTTTCAGCAGCTAGTAAAACATTTCAAGTTGGGGTTTTGTTATGCAGATTTAAAACCTCTGCTCTAAGACAACTCAAAATCAATAATACATTGACATTGCTATTCACTTGTTATTGAATGAAAGCTGATTTGGGCAAGAGTTGAAGATGAATGTGGACTAAGCATGGAGAATGCAAAATAAAATATAACATTTGTAAAGACTTTAACTCTGAAATGCAAATTACATGTTCAAAACTAGACAGCACTCAGAGAGTGAAAACCTCTGCCAAGGGGAAATTCAGTTCCCCACAATGCCATAAAAACTATTCCAATGATAGTTTGACCCTCATAATGTGACCGGTTGATCATGAAAAGCTACCCCTATTGATATCATTATTAGTTTGACAGTTAATCAAAAAAATAAAAATAAAAATGACAGACATAACAAACATTAACTCATTGGTTTAGGGGTCAAACAGGGACCTCTGTCAGTGGGCCGCGGGGAAAGTGGTGAAGACGTCACATTTCTGCAAGTTGGTGTTGTGTTTGTTCAGCAGCTGTTTGATAAACTGCTCATACAGCCTGTTAGTGGCTGACTGTTGCAATATGGAATGAACCTTCACATCCTCTGCTCAGCTGTGAGTGTGTAAGAGAAGCACAGTCCCTTCCGCCTCTAAACACAGACCGACACAGGAAAAATACAGTGGCAAAGCAAAGTAGGATGGTCTGCGTCAACCCCTGAGGTTATACTGAGTGACAGTTAAGGGAATCGCTTGGTGTACCGCTCACTGGGTTCCGACAGTGGAAACACAGCTATAAGATGCAGTGGAACACCGGCATCCTCGCCGACAGGCTGCCTGCTAATACAACTAGCTTGGTCAGATAACTAGCACTCACATCTCAGAAAATGTCAGAACAAATTCTAAATTGGCATTACTTGGAAAGACTGACTGTTGATTCTCAATTTAAATAGTTACTTTGTCCATGAAAAAGGTCAAAATGTAATAAAATGGCATCATGCCAGTCCTGAGGATGAAAATGAAAACAGCTTCAAGCCTGTCTCAAAATCTCTACCATCAGGCTCTCGCCCAGCTGTCGCTGCATAGAGTAGATCTTTCCCCAGCTGTGGGGTGTTGCCTCACTGGGCTCCTTCAGTCACTGTATCACACTGTGGGGTGACAGCACCTGGTTTCCTTTGACAATTTTCATTAGCCCAGGGCTTTGTCTCTGTGCTCCAGTCCTCAGCAGCGCAGCCACACACTTTGGCCACAAGAGGGCTTACGTACAGTCAAGTAGCCTTTGCATCATTCATAAAAAATATTCCTGTATTCAAATTATGATACAAATCAGTTCCAAAATCAAACTATCACATGGGCCACACCCTACCGCTCCAAAACCTTTCATCCAAATCCATCCACTACTTTTTGAATTATGCAGTTAAACAAACTAACAAACCAACAAACACAAGCAAAAACATAACCTCTGCCCTTGGCGGAAATAATAAATTCCACTAAATGAGGAAAAAGAAACCCTGTTCTAATCAGAATGTTTTCTGCACACTGGTAGGAGAAGGTGAATCACATCACATGTTCACATAATGTCTAAAGTGATGACACAGAGTTTTATTTGTAATAATTCTTGATATCAGTGATGGAGCACTGAGTCCTGTGTGGTTACCTGCAGGGTCAGTGGGGCTTGTTTCTCCCATCTGTTTGTAAGGGTTGAACTTGGGCTTGGGTGCAACCACAGGGGCAAACTTCTTAGGTGCCTGCTGCTGGGAGATGGAGATGCTTGTACTGCCCAAAGATGGAGTAGTCTCCATTCTGGCAGTCACTTGTCCTGTCTGGTTGTTACTGTTCACTGGGTTCCACATGGTTCTGAAAAGGAAGGCAAAAGTTTTTAAAAGTCAAACTTTGACCAATGAATTTTATGGTGATGGAAACTCTGAAAACAACAAAAGTCATTCAAATGTTGCCCCAAACAGTAAAACTTTAGAAGAAGAAGAAGCAGCTTTATGTTATTGTTATCGTGACACATACAATGAAATTTTGTTTGGAGCCGAGGGCCCCGGGCAGCTGCATGCATACGCGCCGCCATCACGGGCAACTGGGGCGGGGGGGGGTTCAGTGTCTTGCCCAAGGACACTTCGACATGTGGACTACAGGCACCAAGATTCGAACCTCCGACTCTTTGGTTGGGACACAACTGCTCTACCCACTGAACCATAGTCACCCCCATTATGTTTGTTAGTCCACAAAGATATGAGTAACGCTGGATGCAAACGTAGCTTTACTCACTTTCTGAGTGCACCTCAATGAAAGGGACATCCAATTTATGCATAAGACAGAATTCATGGAGACAGACTGAGGACGCAGTGTGTCTGTCCAGTGTGCGCAGACACAGTAGTAGTTCGATGTGTAAAACAGACGAAAGGAGTGTTGAAGTGTAAATATATGCTCCATGTTGTGCATGGCACAAGTGACACTGCACTGTGCAGAGAGAAGAATAAAAGAATCTCTCTTCCATAGGTTGTTTGACAGATGAACTGCCACCTGTGTAGACAGCAGGCTGATCGCCCTGCCTTCATGTGTGGCCATTACAAACCGGTATAAACACAGATGTAGCAAGATAATATACAGTGTTCTATTATGTATTAATCAATTAATGTGTCCAATTTAATAAAGTGACAAAGTATTTCAAGTGGAAAGCAAATCACTTTAAACTCTGAGCCTTTCCTTTCCTTTACTCACATTCTTTCTCACAACATCTACACAGGAAGAACAACAAAAAGTGATGTGTGAGACAAAGAGAGAAGGAAACAGCATTTTAAAAACAAAAAGACTTTATAACAGAAAAAAAGCATAAAAAACTGCTGTAATACTGATGTAACCATCGATGATTTGCTAGTGTTGATGTAGCTGTCAACAACGAGATCAAATCCATGTTCAGCAATGACAAAACGCTGATCTACAATTCATGTTAAAAGATAAACATTCTCAAATTACAATGTGTTTGCTATTTTTAGTGGGGGTAGTGAACACGTGAGATTAAAATATAAAACTGCTACATTAAGATGCAGCTGATCAATAATATGACTTGAACTTATTCTACATGACAACTTGTGTGTCCTCAATACAGTTACAGTGAAAAGAACACAACAGAGTAAAAGAAGTCGCTGTGGCTGAGGACACAAACATCCAGTATTTCACCACTGCATTCTGAAATCACTTGAAATATTTGAACTATTTATATGCCACGGTTTTCCCATCCTTTTTTGTGTTTGTTGTGCTGCGGTCTGATGTTCTGGCTGTTTATTATCCTCACTCTGACTGATACAGGGTTTACATTCTTTCTCCGGAGCACAGTAGAAAAAGCCCACGCACAATCATCTTTTAATATCTGCTCAAATCCCTGCTCCTCCTGCCGTCTGAATGGTTCTTACTTTTGATATTTTTCACCGCTCTTAATGCTACAATTCAGACGCTGCACTGGTGTCTCACACCCACCTGTCCTTTCAATGCAAATGCTTTAATTTCTGAACGCTCAAATGGCTAACAAAACAAAAGATGAATCGAAAGGAGGGGGGGAAAGAAGCAATGATCTTAGCATGTGCGGTAAGACTCAATACACGACATGTTGAATGGAACATTTTTGTTTCCGTTTGTGGTTACAGACTTTGATGGTAGCAAATAATTCACAGTGGGATGTCACTTTGTGTGTGCTGTGCCACAAACTGCACATCTGTTATTTCAAATAAACTGTCTTCAGAACAAGTGATTTATGAGCCATTTTGGGGACATAAACCTGAACTCAAAACACTGAAGACCTCATAATTACTCTAGTGATTCATGGATTACGTGTGTGAATAAAGAATTCGAATTGCTTTTCCTCCATTTAACTAAAATCTTGACTTCAAAAGGTCCCAATTCAACATGTTCTGTGTTTTATAAAGAGCAACAAGGACACTGTCTCAGAAAAAAATTAATTACTCTAGACTTAAAATGTAATGTGTTTTGAACACCACAAGCAGCTCCACTGTACTGAAAAGAAGGAAGAAACCTTGGTGACAGATATCTCAAATCCTAAACAACTAACCCCAAAACCATTTGCATTATCACGTAACACAGTATAAATAAAGAGGTTTTCCTTTTATTTTTATGAGATAACCTTTTAATATGTTAAGCATAAGGCTGGTGTTATACAGTATTTTCCATTGAAAATACCACTAGTGGGCACAGCTGGGCACAAAGAAAACAGAGTACTGTTCAGAACTATCTTCAGTAGTGCATGAACACGCATTAGATCATCCAGAGAAAGTTTCTGGCAAACGGACAATGACTGTGGGACTGAGTCAAAATAACATGGGACCATATTAACGGTAGCGAAGGAACAGTGCAGCTGCTCTGACAGTGTGGTTCGTTGATGTGATTTCAGTCTTAAAAATTCGGTTTTGAACAACAATGGATGCATTTGTTTTTTTGTGGGATCTGTCAACAATAGAACTATAAAATATCAGAAGACTTAAAGACAGTAGAGGCAAGGGTGATGCGAGAAACGGGAACAAGAGGAGTTAAAAAAACACACAGCTGCGGAGGAACTGACCAGCATCTGAAAATAACAGCGTCTTCTCTCCCAGGGCTAGAAGTTATATGCTGTCAGCTACTTCCACAACATCAGAAGGAATACGCATCTGCAAGCTACAGGACAAAAAGGCTGTGTATGTGCCCCAGCTCCATGACACACATCAGTATTTCCTGTTTTAGTGACTCAAATTGGTTTCTCCAATCATGAACAAATGAACATATTAAAGCTCACAATCAAATCAAATGTTATTTGTATAGTACCAAATCACAACAAAAGTCATCTCAGGACACTTTACTAATGAAAGCAGCTTGTTTACTGTTTTTTCCTCTGTACAGCAGTGAAGACGCAAACATTTTAGGCAATTCTACTTTATATAAACTGCTCATAAAATTAAGGGAACACTCTGATCTTTTCGAACGAATATTCAAGTTGCAAGCCTTTACTGTACAGGATGTTATTTTTTTCAGGAAAAAAATAACATAACAGTCAATGGAAACCAAAATCATTAACCCATGGAGGGCTGTATTCAAAATTACACTGAAAATCCAAGTGAAACATTGAAATCGCAGACTCAAGTTGTATGAATTTCACCACAGCAACTCACAATGTGACTCATAAGTGTGTATGTTAAATAAAATAGTTAATGGCCAACTGGGTTGAAATCTGGTGACTAAAGGCCACAGCATCTGATTCACATCATTTTCATCCTCATCAAACCAGTCAGTGACCCCTTGTGTCCTGTGGATGGGGGCCATGTCATCCTGGACAGTGACTGTGACTGTCCTGTGCAGCAGTGACACTGCACAAATTGGAAATATCACTAATTACATTCACAGCTTTAGTGTTTCCATTTCACCCAGCATGTCATGTTTGGACTGTGGGAGGAACCGAGAGTGTTCAGAGGAAACTCAAACAAGCGCAATGCATCTGGTACATACCATATATACGTATTCTATATAGAGTATATTACTGAACTTTGTCATAAACATACAGAGTAGTTAACAGATGTGGACCTATTGTAATAAGTATCTCAGGTTTTCTCATGAGGTGGCCCAGCACAACACATAGCTGTAACATAATGTGGACAAAAGTCTGATGGTGTGTGACTAATGATACCTTTGTCTATCAACTTCAGTGAGCTGCTGCTACTTAATAAGACTTTCGTTTACCTTTCTTCTGTATCAGCTTTGATGCATTCGGTGATGGAAAGGAAAAAACAAGTGCACACACACCACAAAAAAATGCAAGCACACACACACACACACACACACACACACACACAGAGACACACAATACATTACTGCGAGTGAGGCATATGGTGTAGTCTGAAAGAACACATATAGTCACATAACAGGCTACTTCAGTATAGAAGACTCATGAAAGGAAAGTCAATTCTGATTGCCAGGGCAGTTACACGATGACTCACAAAGCTGTGACACCATGTTTAACAGCTTGCTTTATGGGGGCACGGCAGCCGGGCTGTCTTCTCACAGCTGTTCCACTGCACTTTTACAGCTGTCATTGAGGAACTGCTGCAGGTGTTTCTGCTGCATTAATCTTTCATATCCACCAAGGAAACTATCAAACAAAACCATCCAAAGAGGACCACAGAGAGTACTGAATTCTAGCATAAAATGGCAAGGTTCAGGGATTTTGGGGAGGGGGAGACATGACATGCTATCTAACAAATCTTTGTGACTGGGAGGCTGAAATACACATTGAAAACATACAGTACACAAACCAGGAGAGCTTGATCCAGCAGTGTTCAGGAGCTTCTGCCTTTAAAGTACTCCACTTTTAAAGTGTTTTTGTTTTTTCATTTAGAGACAAACAGCTTAGTAGGTGTACAATAAACGCTAAAAATCTAACATAATGCTCACACCAAGTAAAAAAAGGCAGTTTCTTCCAATGTGGTTAATATTTAGGCATGACTCAAATAAACTACTGATGGCACACTGACAAAGAACTTGTAGGCTGTAATAGTTGCAGCATGAGGGCCAGCAGGATGTTAACATTAACTGATATTACCATGTTACTGTGACGTAAACCAATTTCACCCTTGAATTGACACTATTAAAGCTAAACTAACCCTTTTTTTAATCAAGAGATGTGGTTCTGACCACCTAAACAACAAGAGTCAGTACTGACTCTCCTGATGGCTTTGTTTTGGTCTTCACCAACTATCTTTAGGTGCTAGAACAAATAGTGTAAGAAATGTAGATTTTTATGCCATGACAGCTGTATGCTGTAGTCAAAGATGATGCTGAATACAGTTCTGAGACTGAACAAAAAC